GAACACGTAGCAGTGCGTAAGCGATGACTTGCAGAAACTACTGCATGTGGACTGGCACATAGGAGACATTGAAAGCATTGTTTCTATATTGTCTGCATTCTGACTAAAGGAAATGAAAGGGGTTCACAGGTTTAATAAAGTTGTTACATGCAGAAGAAGGATGGCAAGCAGGAGAAGTGAAAATTAACAAGCCTTATAATGAACTGCAACATTACGAGAAGATGGACTGATGACAGTGTAATGCATAAATCGTTTTAAAAGGAAGAACGTATCACTCAGTGTGCCATTGAAGTAGAAGGTTCACTAAGTGCATGTAGTAAAATTTAATCTGACAAAAAATAAGGGAGGTTTATATTATGAACCTTGGAACAAATTAATCCATGAGAGATAACTGAAGTTAGCCTGCGTTTATTAATTTAACAATTTGTATCCTTGTGACAAGAGAGACACCTGGGACTTGCTGCACAATGAATAATTAGTTTATTGGAAATCTCAACTGGCTACAAGCGTTGAAACAGCTCAGGTCAAGCGGTGATAAATAATTTAAAGAAACCAGTGTAAATTAGGTGTCACTTTAATTTTACATTAACAGATCTATTAGATGCTAACCTTGTCAGACAGGTAATTGCTAAATGAGATCATACTTTTGTACCTTTGCTTCATAATATCATTTGCTTACTCATTCATTTTGTACAAACCTTGATGTTGGCACTGACAGTGTTTCATATGTCCATTCATTCAGACTAGCAAATATTGTACTGACCTTTAAAATAAATGGTAAGTATGCCAATTTTTATTTTTAGCAACTCTGAAAATGTGCTGAATGTTACCTCAGAACTGGCAAGGAGAAGGAAAATCCAGTCTCGGAATTCCATAATAATTTTGTGTGCACAGTTTCACATGTCAGCATATCTCTGGTAGAAATGACAGTATATCTGGCACGTAGGTATTAACAGGTGAAAGTATTCTGCCTGAAATTGTTACAAGGAATAAGGGCATTTCAAGATTATTTTATTTGAATGCTTGGTGAACTCTGAGCTCTATGCTGACAGCATAAGATCTTGGAGAATTACTATGGTAGAAACAAGAGAATTTCAAATCTTAATACTGTTTAATTTTGAAATCCAGATAAACTGCACTCATTTTGTAACAGTAAAGAGTATCTCAAAAATAGCTTGTAACTGACTTTGGATGTTCCTTGTAGTTAAACTCTCACTGGAGCTTTACAGATGAGTTATATTTGAAAGGGAAAATGTTGGGACTGAACAGTGTTTGCAATTTTTAAGGCTTCATTTTGAACCCAGCCATGTTCCCATTAAATCAATGGAAACACGACTGTTCAAAATGACCCTTACCATCGCTTCATTGATGCTAATGAGTTACAGCCATTGACTTCTAAAGAAAGTAACTGGTTTTATTAAAGCTTAATTCCACAGAGCCTTGCACAGTAATGCGGATCTCTATAAAGAGAACATAAAATGCTACCAAATGAAAATGCTACATTCTCTGTGTAGGGATACTTGGCCTCTGCTAAGTAGCAGGTCAAGGGAGGAGAGTCTCCTCCTCTAATCCGCTCTCGTGAGCTTTCAGCTCTGGGGCTCCCAGCACAAGAGGGACATGCTGGAATCAAGTGAGTCCAGAGAAGGGTCATGAAGATGCTCAGACGGCTCGAGCACCTCCTCTGTGAAGAAAGGTTGAGGGAGTTGGGCTTGTTCAGCCTGGAGAAAATAAGCCTCCAAGGAGAGCTTAGAGCAGCTTCTAGTACCTAAAGGGGACTTACAAGAGATCTGGATAGTGACTTTTTTCAGGGGCATGTAGTGACAGGACAAGGGGGAATGGCTTTAAACTGACAGAGGGGATGCTTAGGTTGTGTATTGTTAAGAAATTCTTCCCTGTGAGGGTGGGGAAGCACTGGAACAGGTTGCCCAGAGAAGTTATGTTTAAAGCCAGGCTGGACAGAGCTTTGAGCAACCTGGTCTAGTGAAGGGGTCTCTGCCCATGGCAGGAGGTTGGAACTGGATGAGGTTTAAGGTCCCTTCAAACCCAAACCATTCTATGATCATTAGACACAGGTTCATTCTGGAGACTCCAACTGCTATTCAAGCTAGGGCCATGTTCCTTACAGCTTGGTATGTAACTACACACCCTGTATGTAAGTGGGAAGAACTGGGTGGTGGTTGAATGTGCAATGGTTGTGACGTAGAGCATGGTCCACAAGCCATCATTAGGAGTATTAAAATTCATGAGTAAAAGCTTCTCTTTGACAGCTGCATTACACATTAACTCGTATGGGTCTTCAAGTACTTTTTGCTAGTTTCAGAAAAAGGAGTGCTTTCTAAAAGTCAGGTTTTAAATTAAACCTCATGAAATATATTTTTACTTCTCCTGTACATCCTTTCTGTCCAGTAAAAAATATTTTTGACAGTCTTCACGAATCAGTTACGATCGTGAGTAAATTTAAATAAATAAGAATTTTAAATATAGCTGAAATGCACAATTTATCTGTTTAGCAAATTTAGCTCTGATCTTTTCATGGAGATGGAGCTACAGTGTCATTTATGTCTTTAATAAGAAAATCTTAAATTCTAATAGCATATCTGTATCTAAAAGCATTATGAGAGATAGTTCAGTCGAAATGTTTTAGCAGTGCTTTTATTCCACATACAGATTTACCCTCAGAAGCCTCGCTAGTGCTATTCTGTTACTGAAACAAGGCTATATTTAATGTTCCTGCTTTATGGGGGTTTTGTTTTTGGGTTTGTTTTTTGTGGCTGTTTGTTAGGTAATGAATAGGCTGAGGTGAGAACAAAGTTCTCCTGTATCTTCCATGTATAAATATTTACATTTCTCTGGGATAGGCTCCCTGTCACCCAGTAAAGGACTGAGGTTAAAAGGTAACCTCATTAAGTCCACACTTGGGAGGAGGCACGGGGAGTCTGAAAGCAGGGGAGCACGGTGGTGGGCAAAGCAAAGAAAGTCAGGTCTCCCTAGGGAGAAGATGGATGCTCTGCTGCTCCTGGTGGCAATATGGTGATTTTCCAAGACAAAAATGCTGTTCTTCACTTTGGTAAGAGTGAGTGGGTGCACACCTCTTGTCATTATATGAAGAAGACTGAGTAGATTTGTTTGACACCAGACTGCATTTTTGCAGTTTAACCGTGTAACCTATGGCTTTCTCCTTAGAAAATCTCACTGAAGATAAAAATGCATCTCTTTTGATGTTTTTGCAAGACACAAGAATTTGCTGCTCTCAGACTTTCACCAGTGTAAAACCTTATCAGTGCTGTGGGACTGTGGAAAATGTGTATGTGTGTGGTGTATGTTTGTGTGCTTGACACTAGGTGGTGCTTGCCCTTGATCGTCTGGGAGCAACTTCTGGAATATTTCACAACATTCTTTTATTTAGACTAATTTTTGGTAATTTCTATTATTTCTGGCAAACTTTAATGGGAGCTGATACCCCTTTCCAAGAGCCCAAATACTCTTTCTATTTAAGGATCTTCAGCTTAAAGTACATTTGTGCAATTGTTTTTTTCAAGTTCTAAAGTTAAATGGTCCCATGGGAAGGCTCTACTCTTCTGTTACCAACCTTCCAGAGGTGAAGTTGTCTTTAGAGTTAAGTAAGAAAGTTGCTTTAGCACTGTCAGATATCTAATTAATCCCTCAGTAAATAAAGGCATTCTGTAATTAAATAACCGAGATGTGCAATCAGTTCCAACATGAAATGCTTTGCATATTAATGTACTATTATCCAGGAGCTATACAAGGCTTGTATTTGGATATGAAGTGTAGCAGACATTAAAAAACACAGAGAACTCACCACAGACAAAGCAGTGGGATGTGGGTTTGACAAAGCTCAGCTGAGTGTGACCTGTAAGATGAATGTCACTGTGAGAGTGGTGAGGCACAGGGTGCCCAGAGTTGTGGCTGCCCCATCCCTGGCAGTGTCCAAGGCCAGGTTGGAAGGGGCTTGGAACAACCTGGTCTAGTGGAAGGCATCCCTGCCTGTGGCAGAAGGGTTGGAACTGGGTGAGCTTTAAGCTCCCTTCGCACCCAAACCATTCTACAATTCTGTGAAGTCAGTAAACAGCACAGTTTCAGACTGAGGATTATGGTAAATATGTTAAGGGGCTTGAAAAATCAACTTTTGAAAACTGAGTAAATCAACTTTTGGGACTTTAATAAAGGGGAATCGATGTTACTGCCTCAGGGAGATAGTGTTCTGCAAAGTCTGTTCAGCATGTGCGACTCTGTGCTTTGAAGACCGCAAGAACCAACAGCACTGCAGATCATTAATCTACAATTGATTAGCTGTGTAGTCATTATGCTGTCCAACCCAGTTATATGAAAAACACTGGCTTGGAACTGCAGACAGTACAAGTCACACACACACAAACCCCAAGCCAAAATAACGGGATATTACTGAGTTTAAAATCAAAAGACACACGTTGTTTATTTCGGTGGCACCGAACCGCACACGGGCCTGAAGGGGCGCGAAGCAACGGGAGGGACTGACCCACGCCGCGCAATCCCTCCCGCGCCGCTTTGCGGCGGGCGCTGACAGGAGCCCCGCTCACCTGGCGGAGCCTCCTCGTTAATCTCATTGGATGCCTTTCGCTCCGCCCCTGGCTCCTCATTGGCTGCTGCTTCGTCGTCCCCGTCCCCCTCGTCACCCGCGCGATCGCTCTCTGTCCGATACCTGGAGGGGAGCGAGGAGCGACACCCACCACCCCCGTTCACTCGCCGCCCGCACTCATTGGCGGAGGAGCCGGCGTGCTAGGCCCGTCCATTGGCTGCTCAAGCGGCCGGCTTTGCCCCGATTGGCTGGCGGGCGGGGGCCGAGCGGTGTGTTTGGGCTGGAGAGTTGCCGGCGAAGCGGACTCTGGTGTTGGCGCTGCAGCCGCAGCAGCGTAGCAGCGCGTGCCGGGCTCGGCGCGAGGCGCTCCAGCTCGGCGGGCGCCGCTTCGCTTCAGCCGAGGGCAGTGGGATGGCCGCCTCGGGCGGGCTGCGGCGCGGGGCGCTGCGCTGAGGGGAGAGGAGCCCAGCCGCAGCCGCCTGCCAGGACCATGCCGTCGGGAAGGGAGCCGGGAGACCCTCGGCTGCGGGATCCGAGCGGGGCGGCCGCCCTGTCAGCGCCCGGCAGCGCCTGATCCCGCGCCGCGCTGCTCCCCGTGCACCGCCATGGACGAGCGCTTCAACAGGTGGCTGCTGCCGCCGCTGCTGGCGCTGCTCTTCTTGCTCATCGTCTACCAGTATGTGTCGCCCGCCTGCCCCGGCGCCGCCTGCGCCCGCCGCCCGCCGGCCTCTGCCGCCCGCCGTGGGGGGGGCCCGGCGGAGCGGGAGGAGGAGGAGGCGGCAGCAGGTACCCCGGAGGAGGAGGAGGAGGTGGCGGCGGAGGCAGCGGTGGCGCTGCCGCGGCTGGTGGCCAAGTTCCCGTTCGCGCGGGGGGAGCTATGTCGGCGCGTGCGGTTCGACATGCGGGGCCGCGACGTGATCGTCTTCCTCCACATCCAGAAGACAGGCGGCACCACCTTCGGGAGGCACCTGGTGCGCAACATCCGCCTGGAGCAGCCCTGCTACTGCCGCGCCGGGCAGAAGAAGTGCGCCTGCCACCGGCCGGGCGGCGACAAGGACACGTGGCTTTTCTCCCGCTTCTCCACCGGCTGGAGCTGCGGGCTGCACGCCGACTGGACCGAGCTCACCAGCTGCGTGCCCGCCGCCATGGAGCGCCGCGGCTGCGCCGGCAACCGCACCCTCAGGTAAGTGCTGGCCGCGGGACTCAGCTGCTGTAAGGAGAGGCCGGGGGAAATGAGTGAATAAGTGGTGGTTAAAAAAGCTTATCTCCCAGAGGAGGTTCTAGTTTGGGCTGTTTCCCGCCCTGTTAACTGTAATGCGCTCGCTTCGCCTGAAACTTGCGCTGATTCCACCCAGCGCATATACATACGCCTTTTGCACAGGGTAGCGCGGGAGAAACTCTGCTGGGGCTTATGCAAGTTTGTCATGTCTGTGTGTTGTTCGGAAAGTTGTGTTTAACAAAGCTATACTCTTCTGCGTAAGAAGAGTGTCTCTGCAGAATCTAGTGGATGGCTATAGCTGCTTGCGTGGTGTAATAAATAGCGGAATCTGAACTGTCCGGAAGCCCTTAAACTCTTTCCCTGTGTTTCTTGTTGGCAGATAAGCTGGTTCTCTGCTTGCTGCTGTGTACTGATCGCTCGCTGTATGTGAGAGCTCAGTCGGGAGGCGATGTGTGCTCAGGCTTTGAGCAGGGAGCGCAGTATTAGCGAAAAAAAACCACCACTGTTAATGTTCTGTTGATGATGTGACGACAGCGGAAAACTTCTGAATGTCATGTGCATGCTGCCTCTCTGCGTTTATCTTGTATTGTGTTTTTGTTGTCGATGGAAACGTGGGAATTGTGTAAGTGGAAAGGTTGTCAGATGGGTAATTTCGGTACGAGATAGGTCTAGGTGGTTCAGTAAGCTTTGGGGTTTGTTCTGATTTATTTGCCATTAAATCAAGATGTTCAGGCTAATATTAGATGCTCTCTGTATGATAGATTTTGACTGTGTAGTGAGAAGTTACGAGTTGAATTCTCGCTTAAACCTTTGCAATGCAATGATTGTAACTTCAACATCAGGGAAATAGTTAGGAAAACCAAATTTTTTTTTTTTTTTTTTTTTTTTGTATAGTTTCCGGATAACTTACACTCTTTAATTTTAGTGTCCATTTTAATTGCATGATTTGGCAAAGTTTAACTTTTCATTCAGTAGGATCACTCACACGTTGTGTTTTGTGCCTTGTAATTTAAGAACACACAGAGTCCATGACGTACGTGGACTCAATGTTCACAGGGTCTGTTCATCAAGATGATAAAATTGATTGTTGTGGCAATTTGAAGGTTATTTAACATGAACCTTTGATGTTTGTTCCCTCTCATATAGCAAAGCTAGTCCCATTTAGCATGACTCTAGTCAGTGTAATATGAACTTGTCCTCGATGGCTGTGGACTTGGACTGTACTTGCAGAATACTGTTAAGGTAGTTCACACAATTTTGTGTAAAATATTTAGCTGGAGGTAAGTGAACATATTGGTGTGCTAATGGAAAAGAGATGCTGTGAATGTCTTGAAAGACAAAATCACTTGATGTTAACTGTACAGCATTAAGGAGTATTCAGTAAACTTGTAATGTTAACCAGGGACATAAGAAGGAAGAGTAATATTCATGGAAGCGTCTGAAAATACATAATCTACCAATGAAGTACTTTTTCCTCTCTTGTGAAAAATATTAGTAAGAAAATAACAGAGTGTTAAATGGAATTGCAAAGATCACAAGTAGGCATTAGAAATGGAGTAGTGGTCTCAGTACTCTTAAAAACATCATTATGTGAACTTAACTTAAAACTTTGACTTGAATTACAAAGCAGGTCATAGTGATTGGTGGATAATTAGTGATTTTTTGATTGAAGGCAGACATATAGTGACATTTCGCCATCACAACTTGGTACTGCTTTCTTAAGCATTTGTTTAGTTAGTGAATGATTTGGTTAGTGTGACATTGTACTTCTTGGTTATTGATTCAGAGACAACTCCCCTTTGTCTCATTGGTCTTTATGTAAGTGAGGAAAGTGCTATGAATAATTATTTGTTGCATTGTTTTATTACCCATTGCTTCTGGTATTACAGACACCTTTTCACTTTCCCCTTTGTTTTCTCTTTATAATCATGTAGCTTGACTTCAGCTTTTCAAGGAGCTGTAAAACGAATCAGATAACCCCAAAGGATGGTTTGTCTCTGCTGTGAATATCTTTGCTCCTGGTAAAGTTGGCATCAAGCCTAAACTACTCTGCTGGAGTACTGTACTATTAGAGGCATGCATCTATGCCTTTTTTTTTTTTTTTTTTTTTTTAATGTTTGAACTGAGAATTGAGAATGAGACTGTATGTCAAAAATAGGCAAGAAACTACCATATGTGTCTAACGTAAAATGTACTGATTATTTTTAAGTCATCCTTTAAAGCTTCTGAGCGCATTTGAGGCATTAGAATTAATTGAATAGCTCAATGTTTCTACTTTCCAGCTGTGGAGTCAGAAAATAAGGCTAAATTGGTTAAATATCTGACAATGAGTTTTTCATGAGCAGGACACACTATGTTATGAATTTGGTGCCAAGGTATTTGATCTCTTGTGCCATGTATTTAATGAAGTGAGGATGCGGTTAAGTGTATTTTGGATTATTTTTTGTTTCTCCTCATAGCAGGAGAAGCAAAAAATCTGGATTCTCTTCAGATCTCTATTTATGTAGCCTGTCTTTTGCTACATACAGGGAATAAGGGATTTAGAGTGTAAGTCTCCACATTTGGAAAATTTGCTTCTTACATGGCTGGTAATAGAGTAATGTAAGTAAAAAATTAAACAAGTGGCTCTCAGAAGTATTTTCTTTGCTATTTTGTTGTGAACAAGTTAGATTAGGTCCTACCTTTTAATGCAGGTCTTTAGAAGAGTTCATGAAGAAACTAGAATTCATGGGGGAAGGGGTTAGCTGGCAGGGAAAGGAGGGAGTGGATAATAGTTCCAAGGGTCTTAGAAGGTATGTGAAGCACAACCTTCTCACCCTGGGGGCTTTGTCTTTCGTGGTCAGTGTGTTTAAAGATCTTTTACTTCTGAAATCTCCTCAGGTTTTAGAGAGACTTTATCCCATTTTTTATGTTCCTGGTGTTGGTGTCTTGAAATCTCAGGTCCCAGGAAAGAACACGGGAGAAATTGCTGCTGTGCCCCAGCAATTTGAACTTCTTAAAGCCCAAACACCAGTTCTGACTTAGGTCTCACTCGACCTTTACCTCTGCCTGAGTGAATGGTATGAAGTGTTCCCTGTGCTCTCATCCCAGTTTAGGTACTTCAGTAGGAAAATTTGTTAGTCAATGTGTTGGATGCTGTTGTGAAGTTGTAGAACTATCTTTTTTGGTAAGAATCAGTTACCCTTTTGAATGTCATTACTTAAAAAAAAACAACAAAACAAAACCAGCAACCAAACCAACAATTTTAGACTTTATTTCTTCAAACATTTGCATGTTTTAATTTTCAGGGTGCAAGATGTTCTGCTGAAATACCTTCTAAAGTGTTTACAGAGCCAGGCTATTAACTTTTCATACTAACTTACGGCTTTCACTTTTACAAAAGTTCCTGTCTGGATAGTGAGGACATGGGGAAGGGCATGCAGCTGATGCAGTTTTAAATTAAATTCTTACTAACACAGTTTTCAGCTCATCTTTTCAGATAATTAGTGTTATACAAGCAGTGGGACTTTTCCCATGATGATGCAGTCAGGTTCACTTGGAAGTTCTTGCATCAGTAGGATAGTCCTCCATACATTTAACAGCGGAGTTACTGCTATGCATTGTGTCTACAACTTGGGTTATTTACTTTGCCTCACAAAAATGGCTGCTACAGAAAAAAAGTAACTGAAACTGGGGTGTAATCCTTTTTTAAAGGAACAGTCTTTTGTGTGTTTGCTTTGCCCTCTCAAAGTCATTGAAGTTGATGATGCTTGTGTCTAGCTCCACCTCTGGAACTTGGCTTTCCTCCTGAGGTGCCAAGAATCTGAGACTGTGGAGCCTTAGCCAGCATTGCTTGAGGAAAGAAAGGGAAAAGGAATGTTGTTAGATATCTAACCTGGGATCTGGGGAAGAGTTGGTCTCAAGTTTGAGGAAGTGACATTAGGCCACTTCTATAGACTGTGGGAAGAAACAGAATAATAGGAGCAGCCATATGGGGAGGTCTAAGGTATGTCCGAGACCTGCTGAACTGTCTGCTGGGGGGGGGCATTTCTTCCTTTCACTGACTGCAAGGGATGATTGGCATGGCTAATGTGGGCTTGTTGTCTAAAACTAGATGAGAAGAATTCAATGTCTGTTGCAGAGATGTTGTCTGTCTGTTAGGTTACCAGGTAAATCTGGTGTGTGAGACAGGGCTTGCTTTGCCCCTCTACTGTATGTGTGAGGGATTGAGAGGGGATCTTAGAAGTCCTAATCAGGGCACACTTTCTCCCTTGCCGGTGTGCCTGCAATATAATTAATAATTATTCATTATTATTTATTACAAGTTTGATTAAACTACGAAGGTAATCTTTTAAACTACACACTTAAGAGAACACTGCATTGAAAGTGTTGTCTAATTTTCTTATTTGAAAATAGTGAAATCAGACTAATTCTGTAAACCTCATGAGCTTTATTATCAGTGCACTTCAGTCTTTGAAACTATTGATTTTCATTAATTTGCTTCCATTATACTCTCCATTTCTTCATGTCTGTTTAACTTACTGTGTGCTCTGTTATTCTATAGGAGTATAAATCAGCAGTAAACCCATGAGTCATGGAATTGGGAGAGTTGAATAGAAACTATTAGTAGGATTTCTTTCTTCTTATGCAATCCTTTGTTTGACTATTGAGTGTTTTTTAAAGCTCTAGCAATAACAGAAGGTAAAGTGGACTCTGTTTTTTGCATCCCTGGTAACTATGGTCATCATAAACATGGAAGAGGCTTAATTGAAAATTAAGACTATGCTGGAGATAGGGGGAGAAGAGAATAAAAAGTCACAAATGTTTAAACAAAAACCAAAAAACACACAACCAAAACCAAAACAACCAGAAAGCCCAACACATTCTCTAGAATTTGAACCCATTCCTAGTGATACACCTATACCTTATCTAGGATATCTTGGTATCCTCTACTGAAATGAATGTTAGAGCTGGTGAGCTCTATA